TGTCTACATCTTAGACATGGAGAGTACAACCAGAATGAACTGTTATCAAAATGCCTGTAAGCCCCTCAGCACATGCAGCAGTGATTGGCATCTAACAACGTATGGCAATACGGGGAGTGAGGCATTCCCCCCCAAGTTTCTAAATCTCAGCATCCAGCTTTGGCATCCTGAGGGGACTGTGGTCTCAGTGGGGTGCTTGGGACGCAGCAGGAGAATGAAATGCTCCCTGAGGAAGGCAGAGACCATGGAAAGCAGAGGCAGTTCAGGGTACCCTTTAACACAGAGACTCCCAGAAATTCTTGGGAGGGGCAGATACTTTGTAATGAAAAAGTTTGGCAAGTGCTAATTTAATAGGAGTTATTGAAATAAACTCTCATTTTGAAAAAGGCTGGTGAAGCTTGGAATTTTCAGGAGAGATGACAATGACTTACCACCAAAATGTAGAGCTCAATTTTTCCCCAGAAAGGTAATGGTCCACAGGCATCCACACTGGTCCTCTCAACACACTGGCCCTGACACATGGGCACAGATGGCCAGTGGGCATCACCTGATGAACACTTTGTAGACAAGAAATCATATCTTTTTTTGTGGCTAAGAACTGAACTAAGAATATTGTATCGTTCTCTTTAGTAGCATTAATCAACTGATGCAAACAGCCAAACAGCACATGTCCTCTTCATTACTCTTGAGACTTCTGATTCTTCTGCCATTACAGATAGGCTCCAGTTTTACTGAAAGAAAAATCTCAAAATCGGGGGTTTAAAATAAAGTAAGAAATGTAGTAAACATGCTCTGTCTTTGTTCTCATTTTAAACCTGATTTAGAATTCATCCCTAATAATGAAAGAAAGTGTGGTGTGCCATCTGGATACTAGCATCGCGAAAGGGAGAGATGTTATTCTTATTTGTGAATTCAAAGCTGCAGTTGGACTATTGACATTAACTATGGGCTTTGGACTCCTCTTTAATCAAATCAGCTTCCCCAGTTAAATTGACTGCTTTTATTAAGTTACAATTAAATAGCTTCCAGTTAATACAAGAACATGGACATAACATCACAAGTGCACTGCTGTCAAGTTAAAAGGCCTGTGTAAAAATTCTGCAGCCAGGTTATTCACAGGGACACTAAACAGCCACCAGCCTGTTTATTTTGGTTTTATTAACAGAGATACTGACTTGGTGAGATTACAAGCATAGGCCTTTTAATATTAATAGCTCCCTAGGAATCTGAATTTTTGCTTTCAATGCCAAATAATATCTGGAAAACATGCTCACTTTTGTGTTTTTTTAGAAATTCTAAGAACTGGCCCAGATTCATGTGATAGTCATTCCTTAATCCGTAGTCACCATGGGCCTCAAGGAGTAATTCTTCAAAAGAATGGAAGAGTCTCAGATCCTCCCCATTTCCTTCGGTTTCGATGCTTTCAGCGTGCTTACAGGAAATGTGTTTCCAGTTGGGATACCGGATCGTGTGCCAGAACTCCTCACAGTGCTCTTTGAAGCCTTCCACACAGATTATACCAGGCTTTCCTGTCATACAAAATCCAGTCACATCTAACCTTTTCCCAGCATCCAAAATCTTCTTCCTTAGGTCCTGCTGATATATGTGGTGGCTGTAGATCCACATTCGGAGAAATATGTTCTTGACCGGCTTTGCTTGTATAGATGGTTCATAAACAAGCTTTCTGTTCAGGAAATAGGAGGCACCGTGGTCCTGTAACCACTGGATTGCTGCACACACACAGAGCTCACCGGGATCAAAAGTCCCTATGTAAGAAGTGAGACCTCTGTTGAGAAGTAGCTGCTGTTGTCTGTCAAGCTCAGATGACCGTCCAAACAGCTGCAATGCTACATAGGGATAGCTGTGAGGCATGGTTACTTGCAAATCAATTTTCACCTTAAAATGGAAATCAAATAGATTTAAGTACCATAAAATCACCTAAGCTAGTTTATCAGTAGCAACTGCATGATTTTATGAAGTATAATAGTTATTGCTACTATTGGCATCTGTGTGCCAGACACTGTACTAAGTACTTTACACTATTCCTTCCATTTATACATTCATTTATCCCAGTATTTATCAAACACCTAACCATGTGCCAGGTACCCTATGCTAGAATAAAGAAGTGAAGACACCATTTCTACCCTGGTGAAGTCTAGAGCCTAGTGAAGGAGACAGACATTAAACAAATAATTATGCATAGCAAATATTGAATTTCAGTGGTAAGAAGCATTACCATGGAAGAGTACAGGGACCCAATGAAATGCATAAACAGGGGGACTGAATCCAGTCTGGGGAACCAAGACATCTCCTTGGGGGAATGACAAAGGATGAGCAGGAAATAGAAGAGTGGCTCTCAAGTGCCTGGTCTACTTATTACCTGTGCTATGCTAATGCTGGAGATAAGTGGGTCAGAAGAAGAAGGTAAATTCATTTTTAGTGTTTAGATTTCTATCTATTTGCTTTCTGTGTTAGGGTATCACCAAAGAAACAGCCATTTACCCCTTAAAAGCCAGTTTTGCTAAAGGCCACATTTATATTTGTGAAAATCACATATGTACAAGAGAACCCATACTATAATAGTTGGATTGGTAAAAAACTGGATGACTGAGCAGAATAATAATGGTAGTGAAATGTTTTTTAATAAAAAAAAAACAATACTAGGTATATTTGTTAAAAGGTGTGCATGTTCATGAAAAATTCAGGATGTTTACTGAAGACAATTTACAGGGCACTCGTATTTTACGTATTTTGCTTTCAAACAAGGAATGGAAATATCCTGGAATATCTTGTTTGTTTCTTCAGACTGAAAGCTCATGTTCCAAGTGTTTCCAATAAAAACGAGGCACCTGGTAATTAAAACAACTCAAGGCACTTACCTTGGGCTCCTCAATCTGGAGTGTAATCACAAATTCAATTTTTGGTGGCAGCGCCTCCCTTGTGCCTTCCAGGTATCTTTTTATAGTCGTCAGCGCATTTACATCTTCCAGTTTCACTTCTCCTTGGTTGGGAAACATAGACAACAGCATTTCCATCTCCAGCAGCTGGAGCTGCAGGCACTCTTGGACTGAAGCGGAGGACATGTTGCCTAGAAATCAACCTGCCAGGAAAACTGGAGAGGCCCAGGGACACTGGGTTTGTCAGTCCGCAGTGCCCAGCGAGATCTCCCCACGTTCCCTTTGCGCGGGAGCAGTTTTGCAGGAACACTGGACACCGAGAGCTGGGGGTACACACCGGGACACTTACACTTTCTGCTTTACCTCCTGGATCCAAAATCTAGCATGTGCAGCGTCCCCAAGGCACTTCCTTAGAATTCAGATTCCCAGGCCCCCCCACCCCCACCCCCGCTTCCGATCTGGATCCGGGGATGTGAACTTCCAACAAGTGTTCCCAATTATTCCGTTGCAGGTGGTTGGCAAACACCTGCGGATGCACAGCAAGCCTGGATTTGGGGGAAGGCAAGGGGCCCAGCGGGAATCCTCCCAGGTCCCCGGCGTGGGCGGAGCTGGACTCTGCGGGCAGGGAGCCCCGCAGTGCCGGGGGGCGGAGCTTTGGTTCCCTGGCTCTGGGGTCTCGTGGGCCCAGCCGCCCCCAACGTCAGAAGTCGTCCCTCCGCCTCAGCGCCCAGGGTCCCTCGTCCCTCCCGGGTGGTCCTTTCCGCCTCTCCCGAGAGCCAGCGGGCCGGGGGCGGCGTCCAGAGAGCTCCGGACGATTTGGACCATTTGCCTCTGCCCCGAGGGGTCTAAGTTTAAGCAAAGGTGGGGGAGGGGGGTAGGAGGGAGGGGGAGAGGGGACCCTACAGTTACATAAATAAAATGAGGTTCAGTGTCAACCTGGGCGGAGATGGGGCGGGGCGGAGACCCAAGAAGGCTTCCCGGAATCCAGAGGTTTGGGAGATGAACCCCGAGAAAGGAGAAGCGGTGCGGGATATCAGGTGCCTGTCCCTGGGACCGAGGCCACCTTGTCAGAGGCTCAAATCGGCGCTGGCATCCCCCATCCGGGACCCTAGGATTCCCAGCTTCCCACAGACACGGGATCTACACCCCCCCCAACCCAAACTTGGAGGCGGGGCTGGGTATGTTCTGGCCGCAGTGCTCGGACGGCTCGCGACCCTCGGTTGCAAACCCCGGGCCACCGCGGAGGCCTCACCCTTCCTGGTCATACAGGGGACTCAGC